GACATTTGACAGTAGGTGTGTGACCCTGGGCAAGTCACCTAAACCCAATTGCCTCCCCATGCCCCCCTCCCCTAAAAAATATAGAATCCTGTATGACTCTTAGGTTCTTGAGGAGTTAATGTTTAATATTTAAAATACTTAATATTTTCATTTAAAATAAAATATTTTTAAAAAAGAATGCAGACAGGTCAAGAAGTATGAAGACTGAAAAAAGGCAATTTGGCAATTAAGACATCATTGGTAACTTTGCAGAGAACAGTATGAGATGAATGTTGAGGGTAGGAGCCATATACTGAACACAGTTAAATGGAGTGAGATGAAAGGAAGTGAAAGCCCGGATTGTAGCTCACATTTCAAGGAGTTTAGACATGAAAAGGAGAGTAGACAACAAGGATGGCTGAATCCAAATGATGGTTTTTAAGAATGGGGGTGGGGGTTGGGGAATACATGCTTGTTGGCAGCAAGGAAGTAGACAACAGACCAGAAGAGATTGAAGATTAGTGACAGTGGGGATGACAGAGGGGGCAATCTGAAGGGGACTAAAGATGGGATGGACTAGGATCACGTGTACATATAGAAGGATTTGCCTTGGCAAAGAAAATGACCATCTCTTCACGAGAAATAAGTGAAAGAGGTGAAAGCAAGGAAACACATCTGAATGATATGAGATGAGGAGTGGAGAAGAGGAAAATATTGGCAAAAGACCTCAATTTTTTCTCTGAAATATGAGGCAAGGTTCTCAGCTGAGGCAGGGTGAGGGGTGGGAGGGATAGGTAATAACAGTTTGAGGAGGAATGAAAAGGTTTGGAAATGTCCTTATGATAAGTGAGATAATGAATCAATTAGGGAGATGTAAAAGGATTGCTTTGCTGCAGTGAAGGCCCAGTTGACATTATGTAGTATAAATTTGTAGTGGATTGAACCAAAAGATTTTCATCATTTTTCACCTGCTTCATTCAGCAGCACATGAACAGGGACACAGGTAGAAATACTCCAAAGCTGGGGTTTGGCAGGGCAAGACTGGTGATAGGATTGTTTGTCCTTTGTTTTGAAGAGGACCCATGACATCATGGGGGTGATGTCTTGACTCTTGAGTGAATTGGATTTAAGTCAGGCAGAAGTGCACAAAGTCATAAGCCCTACTCTCTTCCAGAGTCACTGAAGTCCAGTGGCAGGACAAAAATCAAGACAATTGGTGATGGCCCAGCTTGCAGTGAATTACCTTGGTGTCTTCCATATGTAACGAAGCTCTAAGTGCCCCATAACGCCTGCATTCATGGCCATTGGAACAAATTGTTCTCATCAGCCCATTCTGTTGGGGGAAGAGTCCACAGATTAATGGTAGATATCCCCCTAACCTGCTGATGAGTTTGAGGCCTGTTGGTTACCCTCAACCTGGTTTAGCCTGTCTGCCAAGATGGTTTTACTGGGATGTGGCTGCTACATATGCTAGAGTTTCTTAGAGCCACAGGTGAGAGTTTGATGAAGGTGGACACCAAAGGTAGACGAGCAGCCCTGAAAAGGGCTCAGCAAATCCTCACAGCAGAGTTGCTAGTCCTTCCTGAACACTCATATACCTTGATGATAGGATAAGGAGGAAAGGAACTTGAGAAGAGGATAGTGTAGATTTGAACTGGTTCAAACAAGAGGGTCAAAATGGGGGAAAGGAGGAGAGTGTAGCCAGTACATGGCTGATGACCTGGGAAAAAGAAATGAGGGGTGGAAAGATTGGCAGTCACAGTAAAGATGAACAGGGTTAGGAGTTGTAGGGCAGAGGGAAAGATAGAATGATTAAATATTATGATCAGATAAAATTATTTCATAGTTTACCATGCATAATAGTGGAAAACTTACGAGTGATAGCAGGATCAAGGGTTATGATCATCTCTGTGTGTAGCTAAGGTAGAGTTGAGGGAGAGGTTAGTCATAAAAAATGAGCAAATTGAGAAAACTCAACTCCTCCACCATGACTAGTGAGTCAAGTAGTTTAAGCGAAAGAATAAGCAGTGCTACAAAAGGATAGGGATACTATTTCATTAGTTGGGAGTCAGGTTTCTTAGTACAAGAAGATAAAGGATGGGAGTAAGGAAAAAGGCATTCCAGAGAGAATGGTGGAAGGGGTAGAGAGATCTGGAGTGGTAAATTGTGGGGAGAAATCATCTTGAAGGGTTTGAGAATAGGGAGCAGTCAGTAGGTCTTGGGAAATGGAGTTGGTACAATGATATCTGGGACTCAAAATTATTAGGATGGGAGCAGCTAGGTGGTGCAGTAGATAGAGCTCTGGCCTTGGAGTTAGGAGGACCTGAGTTCAAATTCAGCCTCAGACACTTGACACTTACTAGCTGTGTGACCCTGGGCAAGTCACTTAACCCTGACTGCCTCACCAAAAATTTAAAGAAAAAAATTACTAGGATGGAGAGAATATAATGGGGTGGGTATATGCTAACCAGCTGAGATTATTATCTTAACATACTTTGGTCCCTTTCTCAACACTCTGCCACTATTACTGCAGAAGTGAATGGGGGCCACAAAGAAACTGTTTCTGATTATTATTGGAAATCTTTCTCAAATATATTAGTGCTCCAAAATAGCAGTCCTATACATAATAGGAAAAAAAAAACTTGAAATTATGAATCCAATGAAAGGGAAATAGTAGAACTGATTACGGAATACTAATTTAATGAAATATTATTACATCGTAAGGAATGCTGAGGCAGCATGGCATAGTGGATAGAACTAGTCTTAAGAGTAGAAGAATTATGTTTAAGTTCCATCTCCCCACATATCTGACTATTCCTTCTGAGTCTCCTTTACTGGATTTTCAAACAGGCTACTTCCACTAGTCATGGATATCCACAGGGCTCTGTCTTTCTCTTCTCCCTCTACACTACTTCTCTTGGTAATCTTGTCAGCCACCATAGATTTAATTACCATCTCTATACTGATGATTCTCAAATATACTTATCTAGCCTTAACCTCTCTGATGACTTCCAGCCTTGCATTTCCAGCTGCCTTTCAGATATCTCAAACTAGATGTCCAATAGACATCTTAAACGCAACATGTCCGAAACTGAACTCATCATATTTTCCCCTAAACTTTTTCCCCTTTCTGACTTTCCTGTTACTGTTGAGGGTACCACCATAATCTCAGTAACCTAGGTGTCATCCTCAGTTTCTGTCTCTCACACACCCCTCTTCTCTGTTGCCAAGACACGACAATTTCACCATTACAATAAGAGATGCTGTAACTAATATCTAAGAGATCCTAATATTTAGATTCTAGAATATATCCTTTCTTTTGATACTGCCATCATCCTGGGACAGGTCCTCATCTTCTCATACTTGGACTATTTCAATAATCTGTTGATTGGTCTGCAAGGCTCTTGAGACTCCAATCCATCCAAGCTGTTAAAGTGATTAACCTCTTGTTTGCTTCAGTGTCCTCATCTATAAAATGAGGATAGTAATAGCACCTACCTGCCAAGGTTGTTGTGAGGATCAAATGAGATAATATTTGTAAAGTGCTCAGCACAGAGCCTGGCACACAGTAAATGCAATATAAATGTTAAATTATTATTACTATACTATTATCTTACTTCCTGCCATGTACACTTTGACCAGGTGATATTGCTCTGCTTAATGTTTATTGAACAAGACACTCCAAATTTCACGCCTTTGGCATTTTCTGTGGATGTCCCCTGTGTCTAGAATGTACTTTCTCCTCATCTCTGCCTCCTGACTAACTTCAAATTCCAGCCCAAATCCCATTTTCCATGAGAAGCCTTTCTCATCTCCTTTAATTCTAGTGCCTTCTCTCTTTTAACTATTTTCCATTAATCCAGCATATAGTTTATGTATATTCGTTTCCATGTTGTCTCCTGTGAGCTACTACAGAGCAGGTACTGTCTTTTGCTTTTATTCATATCTCTAGTGCTTAACACAATGACTAACACATAGTAGGTGCTTAATAAATGTTTATTGACTTATTGACACTTCATGATTATGTAACCCCGGGGAAGTGATTTGACCTGTAAGTACCATATATGCTGCATGTGCTAAAGTGCATTAATATACAGTTTCTTCAGTGGAAGTGCTTTTTACCAATGAAATCACAGGTTCATTCCAAAATAAAGGAATAATGAATATGAAGAATTCAGGGAAAAATGGAAAGACTTGTATGAACTACTAAGGCATGAAAATCCAAAAGGACAACCCATTCTTTATCTATGGTAAGGTAAATGCAGGCAACACTAACAGGTAATACCACAGGTCAAATACAATGGATAATATTGGTTCCAAATGATTAAAGTTTAAACAAATTTTCCATTTTTGTTTACCTTTTTAAAATAACTTCAAAGAGAGAAAGTTACATGTATGGTTGATTGTAATCACTCTATTAGGTAATTTTGCTTAATTTTTTTAAATAAATAATTTTATTAATTAAATTTTTAATTAAATTTAATTAAATAAAAATTTATTAAATAAATTTTTAAATAAAAAGATACTGTGGAAGGTGGGTTGTTTTTGGTGAAGTGATTGATGTGTTCAAACAAAATATCCATAAAAGGGTATATTATTATAAGTTCCTGCTAAATGAATGCTATAAATACTGGTTTTAGTTTAGTATAATAAAGATAAATAAAATGTATTTTGCTTTTATGATCTGTATCTTCAGGCAATCATTCTGAAAATCAGTGAGTATAGAATTAAAGACGTAAAATTGAGTTCAGGTCAAGAATTTTGGTCAATTAAAAAAAAATCTCTAATATGAACTTGTTCTGTTTCCTAATCTTGAGTATAGGAAACAGACATGAAGGAGTTTTACATTAACTTTCAGTCACTGTGCCTTGCCACGCTAAATAAATATTAGATTGCATTGAGATGGAAGGAACTTCAAGAGTTCATGTATTCCAATCATCTGGCCATTAACTGACCAACAATTAGGTTTTCTAGATGAAAAGACAGAAGATAAGCCTGTTTCTTTCTAGCTACTCACTGACCTGTATGTCTTTTGTAGTGCTTCAACATGTTGACCTTTTGAGCAAATTTCCTATGGCACTCCTTGCATTCATATTCCTTGATACCTTTATGGAGTTTCATATGATGACGAAGAGCATGTTTGGTTTTCATGCCTGTGGGAAAAAAAGAAACAGAGAAGCATATAATGTCCAAATCCTTCCATGCCCTTGGGATTGTACATAGACTGGTAGCAAGAATGAATTCTTACACCTAACTTCTAAGGGTACCTAGTCTGTGGTATAATTCAAATTTATCAAATCTTTTACCCCACCTTGAACTGACAATGCCGGTACAAAGTTATTAAGTTAGTGACATCAAAAACCTACATTTTAACCCTAGGACTATATGTTTAAAGTATCTGTCATTAGGTTAAGCAATAATAAAAGTAGCTTTAAAAGTTCTCAGAATTTTATTTGTATTTTCAAGAAAACAAAACCCAATATTAATTTAAAAAGGAAACAGCATTAAAAAGCAATGAGGTGGTTAAACTCAAGAAAATTCCATTATGCATATTTTAATATTAAACTTTTAAAATTAACTTCAGAGATGATCATGTAGATTTTAAATATATATGTAACTATAACCTCAACAATTTGAATTCATAAAAGTCTCAATTATAGACTAGTTTAAAAGAAAGAAATGACATGTCATTACTTTTGGCATTCATGGGCTGTAAATAAATCAAGTCAGTGCCTACATAGAAAAAAACAAACCTAGAGAACATTAGCCTGAGGAGTAATAGTCTCTGCTTACAGTTATGCCATTTGATTTTAAATGTGTCAGTGGCTAGTTGAAAACTATTGCCTCTGAGTAATAGCTTTCCTTTTTTCAAAGGCCAGACATCAATAGCATCATCTTTGCATATTAAAGGCCATCACTGTTATCAAGGAGTACTCTTACATGGCTTAAAAAATCATTTGGCTTATTTTTTTTTTCCTTTCACATAGATAAATATTTGCCCTTCTATTTATCATACTAGTAATTGCATGGCACAGTCCCCCAATTATCTGCTTCATCAACCTTTCTCAATGATAGTGAAAAGACTAACTTTAGCTTAGCACTCATAAGAATTATAAAACTAAAGTAGTAGAGTTTGAATTAATATGAGTTCACTACATTTCTTTACTAAGAATGAAAACAAGCCAATCTGCTATTTCAGGGACCATTATAATGATTTTTGGCTGAATTGTGACACTATCTAGCTAGCATAGGGAACAAAAGTCTTTGAAGTAATTTCTAACTATTGTTAGGAGGAAAAGATCGAGAAGTGGAACTGAAGGAGGTGTTTCCCAAAATAAGCAGACCTTGAATGTCAGATATGTGTATGTCTATTGACTAAGGAAATTGTTTTTTCTCAGCCTCCTGGACTATGATCAAGTACCTGTCACAAACAGCATTTTGGCTAGCTAAGGAGAAGGGAAAATTCAGCAACTCTTATTTTACCAATTGCTTCAAGTCAAGGTCAAAGTTAAATGAGGCTAAAGTAGAGAGGGGTGACAGTGAAGAAAGTACTTCACCACATCTGTACTAGATTAGCACCACTGTTTACTTCCTCCACTGTTTACTTAATGCATGCACTGTAAGTGAATTACATTAAATAGAATGACATACCTACCTTTTCCACATTCTGCACATAAGTATTCCCTGATGTTATCATGTACTCTCATGTGTTCTTTAAGCATATCTTTTCTGGCAAAGGATTTACCACATTGCTCACATGCATGACTTTTTACACCTTTAAAAAAATAAATCAAATTTAAATTAAACATCAAAATTCAAATTAATGAGTAAGCCACAAAACTAGCTAATGAGATAGACATGTTGAAAATATGTACTCGGGTCTGAAAGCTGAATTAATTAGTGACAAATCTGGTTAGTGCACCACTTCCTTCTTTACAATCATGATTTTAGTCTTCTGATAACCAACTTGCCTCATAAAACACAAGTTTCCTGAGGAAGCTGGCTAGTCTGTTAGCTTGTTTTGGTTCTGGTTATTGTAAGGTAGATGTGTGAGATGGGTTGGAGGGTTTTGATGGTTGTCATTCAAGATTGTGAGTCCTGACCCTACACAAACTCAGCAGTGTCTGATTTGTGTTATGTATATTTTGTTCCAAATAACCTAGTTAAAGCATTTTTGTCAGCTATGGATGGCTATCACTTCTATTGTATTGGCTAGAGTATTGTGTGAATAGGATTTTGTACAAAGCGAGGGAGGTAGCTCTGCTTCCTCAAAAGGCTTGTTGGTTTATTGATTCTGCATAGTACTTGAATCTGTCCATTTTTAAATAGTATTAATTTTATACTAAGGACAACTCTAGGAATGTTCTAAATCAAAACAAAAGTGTACCTTTTAAGAGGGAGAGAAGCAATGAGAAATAATGTGCTTGAGAAACTGCAGGGAGAAAAATTAAGCCCAAACAATTAAGTTAATACAAAATGATGGCCAGAGAAAAACTAGAACTAATACGAGAAAAAGTTAAAAGTTTTAACTATTCTTTTCATGGTTGAATACTAGCACATGTTTTTCTCCTACCTTCTCTTCTATATACATGATTAATTAACCCTTAGAAAGATAGAGCCCTGAATAAGAATGAATATAATTTAATGATAATTTTTCCAATTGTTCAGGATATGTTGGTCTATCCTGGTGCAGAAGCACAGTAACAGTTAATCAGTGAAATATTTCTGAGAAAACTAATTCCTAGATTTGATAATTTGCCTCATGAGATAAACATATCAGCAATGACAGAGATATTCAATTTAAAGTACAAATTATAAAGGAACTCAGTTCTAAGGTACTACTGACCTAACAGTTCCACTGTCCTGAGACTAAGCTTCAGGGGCAAGAAAATGACAAAATGGAATTTAAATGGGACAGCAGAAATTTTGCTGAAACGAAATTTTAAAAGCCAGATAGGTACCTTACCATTAGGAAAACTGGATTTGTTCTACATTAAAATTTTAATAGTAGCTATTTTTCAGACCTACAGTAGTTGGTGACATCTTAAATTACTGTTAATGCTCTAATGATATGATACTTCCATATACAAGTACAATATACAGGTACAATGTGCTATGCCAAAGGATCAGAAGACCACTGCTATCCTTATGAACCTACTTGATAGGGTTCACATGAAAGTCCATGAGAGTCAGAATTCCCTGAAATCCTGATCGAAGGTCCCATAACCCACTTTTCATTACTGTGACTATGTTGGCAAAGTGGGAAGGTGTTTCCACATGGATTTGTATCACATAATGCAAAAATGTCCCTGTTCCTGAGGAGCCACCAGATCTACCATTAACCTGATGGGATGGCACAAATGAACTTTCAAGCCTTGGACTGGTAACATCTTTGTGACTTTCATTTAGCAAGTTGCCAAAGGTCTAAATCTGTCCAAACAGGAACAGGGAAATCTTGCCGTACTCCTTATCTCCCAGACATGGACATGGACATGATATCCTAGTTAGCCATGGGAGTTCTGTGCCCTATGAGGACAATACTGGATCTATACCTCTTCCTCCCTTGAAAGCCTTATAGATAGTCATGAAAAAAAGATCAGTTCATCTGGGTGGGTAACTAGCCAGGCCTCCAAAAGCCAGGAAGTGGGTCATGAAAGACAACTTCACTTTCCTTACCTGCATCAATGTCCTAATCTTTGAGGATGTAGTTAGTAGTTGCTGCCTTTCTTATTCCTTCTGCCAGGCAACTACTAGCAATAATCTCTACCAAAGAAATTATGTGTACCTTGTTGTCTTTGACTTTTACAGAGTCATTTGTCCCTGATTTTCAGAGTAATGACATTTGTACCCTATAAGCATAAAAAAGAGGGATAATGTGGAATTTCATTTTGTTGTGCTTCTGGGGAGCTTGACACAGCTTGAAAGGTCTACCAGTATTAGAAACTTTTCTCATTAAAAACCTTGCTCCTTTGTTAAAACAATGGAAAACCACTTGCTTAGAATGCTGTAATCAATTATGTATTAATATTTTACCTTCCTCAGAATATTACCAAAAACCTCCTTGGTCACCAAGCTAATTGACTCTCATCAATTTCCTAAAAGTTGTTCCCCCCTCACCCTGCTAACTCTGTACTTCCCTCATTTAATTTTGTTTCCACAAGATTATAAAAATTATTTGCCTCACCCAGACACACAGCAGAGCTTCTTGGTAACACTAAGATGCTGTGTCTGTGTTTGAGTGTCTCTCCCATTGCAAATGCAATTATAATAAAGAGAAATGTCTTGGCCACAAATGCTGGGTTAATTCTTCAACATGTATAAAAAAACAGCACAGTATTTTAAGCTAAGGGATTCAGTCTCCAGAGAGAACTTTAGAGAGGTTTCAGAGATTTGCCTCTGATACTTATTAGTTTTGTGAAGGCAGTCATGTCACTTAATCTTTGACAGTCTCAGCTTCCTCTTCTGTAAAATGGGAATAAGAATATTTACATTGGGGGGCAGCTAGGTGGCGCAGTGGATAGAGCACTGACCCTGGATTCAGGAGGACCTGAGTTCAAATCCAACCTCAGACACATATCACTTACTAGCTGTGTGACCCTGGGCAAGTCACTTAACCCCCATTGCCCAACCAAAAAAAAAAAAGAAGAAGAATATTTACATTGCCTACTTCAAAGAGTTGATCTGAGGAATTTTTACAAACCTTAAAATGCTATTTAAATGTATTATTAGTTATCCTTATAGCTCACAGTAGGTTGCTAAACAATTTTCCCAATAAGATCATAATTAAACAGTTAAGGAATGAGTTAATATTAGAAATAGGCAGACTGGAGCTATAGGAATAAATATACTACCTGTGTGTATGAGCTTATGTCGTTCCAAGTTTCCTATGCTATTAAAAATCCTTCCACAAATTTCACATGGATGAATGTACCTGAAACAAGAGAACAGCCTATTGGACAGTGAGCTCACATATAGCCATTATTTTAGTAATTTGCAATAAAACAGAAATTTCATTTATTAACTGAAGACAAAGTAAACAAGATATTAAACAGATTTTTCAAATTTCATCTAAATAAGCATAAATACTATACTGTCAGGAATGTATATGACTAACTTAATCTGTTCCTGCGGTGTTTAAGAATTATAATTATCTGTATATAAAGTGAATAAATGTGTGCATTAGCCACAAAACTTTGAGAAAAATGTTGGGGTCCTGCAAATTACTCAATAAAGTATTTATTAATATAGAAATATAGCCATTCCTCTCAACCACAATTCCAGCAGGGACTACAGAACAACCATTAGGAGGCAACATTTTGTCACAAAAGGCCTTACTTCTGTACATTGGGATCAGGAAGGTTCTCCCGGTGAATAACCATATGTGCATGATAAGTCGCTTTAAGGGCGAATCGTCTGTTGCAGATACTACAGCCATAGCCTTTCTCCTTGTGGACCTCCATGATGTGCTTGAGGTACTCTTTCCCTCTGCCAAATGTTAGCTGTGGAATGTAGCAATAATATATGAAGAGGCAAAGAATAGAAAAGGTAGGAAAAATTTTAATGTCTTACACCCTAATGTACAGAAAATCTACCCTTTTTTTGTTAAAGAAATGTTAAATTGCAGACCCAGGCAGGCAAGTGGAGAATACAGATTCTCTTATATAGGTGAAATGGCTTCAGCCTGCAAGGCGACTTCTAAGACATAACTGCATCTTTGAGTCTAAGTCTTGTTCTCTTTAACTCTAAGTAAAGAGACAATTAGGACACAAAAGGACATGGATTGTAAGTTTATCTTCTGTACCGTTCCATTTCCCCTTTTTACATTCTTTTGGTACCTCCTTACCTCACAATGTCATCATCAATGCCCCTTAGAGCTTAGGATCTATCAATGTAGATCTGATTTAGATCTGTTCTTCCTAAGTTTACCCCATATTATATCCCTTTCTCTCCAATCATTGCATAGAAAAAAAAAATACCTGTCATGTCTCATTAGGTTATAGATTTGCTAATAAATCTGGTAAATCCACTCTAAGATGTAACTAACTGAAGTTTAATATGTTTATATCATTATAAAGATACTGGGGGTCACCCTGTATTTTAATACTGAATTTCCAATTTAACCTAAATGAGTGAATTAGTAGTGGTGACATTTCTGGCATCATTATATGCAACCTAAGCAGATTTTAGAGTAATGTAGTTTTCTAGGATACCTACTCCATCTTTATGCAATACAGGTTGTGTTAAAAACATATAAAGGAAGGATTAACCTATTGTGCTACAAATTTCAACACTCATGAAAAATACGTACCTAATCTAGCCCACTGAGCCATCTCTCTATTTCTTAACCAATATAAAATTGTTTTGATGATCACTGCTTTGTGGAATAGTTTGAGATCTAATATCTAATACTGTGAGGCCCTCTTCCTACTTTTTTTTTTTTTTTTTTTTACTATTTCTCTTGAGAATACTTTTGTTCCTCCAACTGAATTTTGTTTTTATTTTTTCTAGCCCTTTAAGGGAATCCCTGGGTACTGGATAAATGCTTGTTGACTATACTTGATACAATGCTAATTTAGTAAGTTAATTTAGGTTAAATTGTCATTTTTATAATATTGTCTCAGTGTAATATAGCTCCAGTTATTGAGGTTTATTTTCATAAACAGTGTTTTAGAGTTGTATTCATTTAGTTTCTGTGTCTATCTTGGTAAGGAGACTCCTAAGTATTTTAAATATTTTATAGTTATTTTAAATAGAATTTCCCTTTTTCTTTCTGCTGAATTTTGCTGGTAATAGACAGAAATGCTGATTATTTGTATGGATTTAATTTGGGTTCTATAACTTTGCTGAAATTACTATTTGCTCTGGTTAATTTTTTACTTGACTCTACAGGTGCTCTAAGTCAGCACTTCTTAAACTGTGGGTCGTGCCCCAGTTTAAGAAGCACTGAAGGGGCTACAAGTGGAAAAAGTTTAAGAAGCCCTGCTCTAAGTAAACCATCCCTATATTTTTAGTCAGTCAACAAATATTTATTAAGTGCCTACTAAGTGCTAGGCACTATGCTAAGCACTGGAGATATAAATACAAGTTTAAAAAAAAAAAGATAGCTCCTGCTCTTGAGAAGATTATAGTTTAATGGGGGAAAAGAACAATTGAAGGAAGCTGAAAAGCAGGTGGAGGAGGAGAATTAGTAAGGGGGCATGATGGAGAAGTCCAAAGACGTCCAAAAGCAGTGTAATTTGTAGGAAATCGGGAGAAGACTGCTAAGTCTCTTATTAAACAGAGACCCTGGAGTTCATGGCCCTGCCCTCTATTCAGAGAATCTAATCAGAAGGGCAGAGGGTACTGCGGAGATGTGAATACTAGGTAGATTCAGTCTTGCAGGACAATGAGATTTGCTAACGATTAACAAGGAGGTTCAAAGAAGTCTAAAAGCAGTGTAGCTTGTGGGAAATGGGGATATAATCTTTATCATCAAAAGTGTTAATTTTGTTTCTTTCTCCTTTGCCTAACAATATTTCCTCAATTTCCTTTTTTTTTGTCTTCATACTGATTCACATTTCTATAATGTATGTATTGAATAATAGTGGTAGTAATGAACATTCTTGCTTTATCCCTGAATCTTATGAAATGGTCTCTAGCTTATTCTCACTACATATCTTGATCTTGGTTTTTACAAGAATGATTGTTATAGTCTGTAAAGAGTGTTCCCAATCAATTGGAGTGAGGTGAAACATTAGAACTGCTTTAGTTTAGAGAATTTTTTTCTCTAATCTGATAACTCAGATTTCTTTCCTTGAAAACTATTCATATCCTTTGACCATTTAAATATTGAAAAATAGCTCAATTTTGGTTCCTTTTGATAAAAATATGGTCAGTTATATTTATAGTTTTTCTAATATTGAACCAACCATTCCTTCCTGATATAAATCCAACCTAGGCATAGTATATGATCTTTGTGATATACAGTTGTGGACTCCTTGCTAGTATTTTATTTGTAATTTTATATCAATATTCATAAGGGATATTGGTCTATAGTTTTCTTTTTCCATTTTGACTCTCCCTGGTTTAAGTATCAAAATTTTATTTGTGTCATAGAAGGAATTTGATAGGACCCCTTCTTTACTTATATCTCCTAATAATTGCTTTTATTTCTTTTTCATTGGTTGTAAATTCACGTTTTTCATTTTTGATACTGGTCATTTGATTTTCTTCTTTCTCTTCAAATATAAATTTTTCTTAAACAGCCCCTAGTTTTATTTATTCATTGGGACTTTTGCTTTCAGTTTTCTTAATTTCTCCTTTGATTTTTAGGATTTCTATTTTGGTGTTCAATTGAATTTTTTAATTGGATGGTTTTCTAGTTTTTTTTTTTAGTTGCATGTCCAATTCCTTGATCTATTGTTTCTCACCTTTCTTTTTTCAAGAAAACATTTCCAGATATAAATTCATTATCTGCTCTTTTTCCCCCCTCTTTCAAAGTGTCTAGAGATATAAAATTTTCCCCTAAGGACTGATTTGGTTGCATACCAAAATACCATTATCTTTGAAGAAATTATTGATTAATGATTGATTGATTTGATGAAATTATTAATGGTTTGTTCTTTGGCCAATCCATTATTTAATATTAGTATTTAGTTTCTAATTAATTTTTTATCTTTTCTTCAAAGACTCTTTATTGAATGTAATTTTTACTGCATTATGGCCAGTAAAAGATGCATTTAATATTCTACTTTTCTGCATTTGTTTGTGAGGTTAGTATGCACTAATACATGATCAGTTTTTGTGAAGGTGACAAGCACAACTCAGAAACATCTCTACTCCCATTCAATATTCTCCATAGGTCTATAACAGTTAATTTTTCTAAAATTCCATTCAGATCCTTAACTGCTTCCACCCAACCCCCTTTTAAAGACTGATTTAGGTCTGAGAGATGTAAATTGAGATCCTGACTATTATATTTCACAATCTGTTTTTATAACTCATTTTTCATTTAAGAATGTAGGTGCTATTCCATATATGTATAGTATTGATATTAACTCACTCATACTTTTTGGCAGAATGTTGTTTCTCTATTTCTTTTAATTAGACTTATTTTGCTTAAGTTACCCCTGCATTTTTTATTTTAGCTGAAGCATAATAGATTCTGCTCCAGCCCCTTACATTAAATGTGTTTGTATCTTTCTGTTTAAAGTATGTTTATTAAAAACAAAATATTGATTCTGGTTTCTAATCCATTTTGCTATCTCTTCTGGTTTTATGGGTGAGTTCATCCTATTCACATCCTATTGTTAACTAAATTTCACTAAATCCTATTCTATTATACTTTTCCTTCTCTTTCCCCCCTCTTTAAGAGTTTGTATTGCTTCTGACTAATCCTTCCCTTAATCTAGACTTCTTCTGAATGCCCCTCCCCCTGCCTTTTCCATGAACTCCTTTTCCTCCTATTTCTCTATTGTGTAAGATGTATTTTCCTACCCAACCGTGTGTGTGTATTCTCTCCTTTTTTTAACAGATGACAGGGAGGTTCAAGTGTTCCTCTCTTCCCCCCCCTGCCCTATTTTACTGTATAGACTTCTACTTGTATACCCCATTTATGTGGGATAATTTCCTCTAGTTTTCTTATCCCTTCTCCCCTCTTCCACTGTGTTCCTCTTCTCCACTCTTTCCATCCTTCTTTTGAAATCATTAAAACACAGCAGAATCACTCCCAGGCATTCTGTCTAATTAGACTACCTTTATGCTCCTCTGATGAAAATAGAGTTCTCAATGATTGCATGTACTATCACCCCATATAAGAATGTAAACAGTTAAACCTTGTTTAATTCCTCATAATTGCTTGCTCATATTTACCTTTTTATGCTTCTCTTGACTCTTATGTTTGTATGTCAAAACTTCTCTTTAGCTCTGGTTTTCTCAGCACAGATGCCTGTAGTTCTAAATTTCATTAAAGATTCATTTTCTCCCCCGCACAATTATACTCAATTTGGCTAGGTAAGTTATTTTTTTATCATAAGCCTAGATCCTTTACCCTTCTCAAATATCATATTCCAAGATCTCTGTTGCTTAAGAAGTGTTGTCTGCCACATCTTAGGTGATCACTCCTCAGCACTTGAATTCTTTCTGCCTGCTTGCAGTATTTTTTTGTTTGCCTTGGAACTTTCAACTTTGGCTGTAATGTTCCTGGGAGTTCTGATCTTGTGCTTCCATTCATGAAGTGACTGGTAGATTCTTTCAATTTCTGCTTTGCTCTCTAGTTCTAAGGTATCTGAGAAATTTTCTGTTACCATTTCTTGAAATGTGATGCTTTAGACAACTCCAAAAGACTCATGATAGCAAATGATGTCCACATCCAGAAAAAAAAACTATAGAGTCTGAATGCAGATCAAAGCATATTATTTGCTCTTTTTTTTGTTTGTTTCTACTTTCTCATGCCTTTGTTTTTTTATGCCCTAAATGCATAGTCAATTTTTGCAAATAATAATTGTAAAAACTGTAAAATAGTTTATATATAAATTTACTTGCAACTGAAAAATATGTATACTCTTTTCTGTTCCCATTCAATAATCAATAGAGAGCTATCATATCTAACTTTTTTCAAATTGTATTCATATTTTTAACTTTAAAAAAGTTTTTGCTTATTTTTGTTTAGCTCAGAAAGGGATATATTGAGATCCTTCATTAATGATAGTTTTATTATCGGTTTCTCCCTATATAACTCATTTAGCTTTTCCTTTAAGTATCCTGATGCTATGCCATATGTGTTTCGCTACCTTTATAAGTATTCCTATTAATTCACTGTATAAAATAGTTTCTCTATGTCTTTCAATCATGCCTATTTTTGCTGTTATCTTGTCTAACATTAAAATTGCTACTGTGCTTTTTGAGTTCAGCTAAAGAATACTGTATTTTGCTCCAGTCCGTTATTTTAATTCTAAACACATAGTTATACTGAATATATCTTTATATTTTAAATGCTTCCTGTAACAAACATATTTTGTTGGATTCTTTTTTCTGCTATCATATTTTATAGGTGGGTTCATCCCATTCACAATTCATTAACTGTGTGTTTCTGTCTATCCTATTAAAAAAAAAACAACTTTTCTATATCATTGTTCCTTGCTCTCCCTTTACAAAGAAAAGAAGGATAGTGAGAAAGAGGGAGTGTTTTTATCACCAGTATTCTATGCTTGATGTAACTGACTTATGTTCCCCTACTTGAGGAGATGGAGGAGTTGGGAGATGAGGACCCCAACAATTGTTTCAGGAATTTTGGGATAGGTGATTCAGCTCTCTCTGTATCTTAGGAGCAGCTGGGAATAGGAAGTAATGGGTCCAGTATTTCAAAAGATATGAACAGAAGAAGCTTTTTTAGAGAATGGATGGGAAAGAAGTTGGGAAAATTATAGTTTTTTAATTCTCCACCTCTTTTATCTTTTTTTCTTAAAAACACCCAGAGTTAGGTTAAAAACATTATGGAAAAGATGATGGAGGATAATGAGCAATATCATCTCATAAAACAGAGAGAAACAGTGCAGGATAAAAGACAGTTTAAAGAAAATTTGGCGAGAGATCTAAGGAAAGACATCCTAGGAGCACCCAAGGATGAAAATGGAAAGCAATCTACAAACAGAAGGAAAATTAAAAGTTCTTATGAAAAAAAAAATTTTTTTTGACAAACTCTTTTCTCCATCAAAAATGATAGAACCACTGCACTTGGACCATAAAATCACAGACCCAAATGTCCTTATAGAGGAGATAGAATGGCACAAAAGACAACAAAAACCAAGAATATATACAGGAGACATACAACAGTGAGAATATTGAGGGACCAATATATAATGTATCTCAAGATGGGGAAAACACCAAACTAGATTTTGCAAATACTGAAAAAGGTGAACAAGAGAATATCAGTAATTATCTTATATACAGGTCAACTGGGTATGTACTGAGGGCATACTGGATAAGAGCATCAGTAGGGAGCAAGTAAACCTTAAGTCATAGTCAACAACATTTTTACTATTTCATAATTAACTAAAAGCTGTAGAGAATCCTGCTGTGCTTGTTTGATTAAAAAAAGGCATTTGATTAAGTAGAATAAGTCTCTTTTTACAACTGAGTGTATCTTATCTATACACCAACATCATCTGAAATTTCTTGAATAATGTTATAGCAGAAATAACCCTGTTCAATGACCCTCTGAAAATAAACATTAAACAGTGAGATGTATGCTTGCCAAAGATATTTGCCAATTCAATGGAAGCAATCCAGTACAGAGTCTAAATTGAAGACAGATTAATTTTAAATAGTGAGTGAGGTCTTCCAGATAATTCTGTTTGCAATCACTGAAAAATATTTGGCCTGTCCATACACAGAAAAAAGTCCAAATGAAAGAATATCTACTGCTCATATTTTAACATGTATTTAGATATATGTCCTCTAATTTAGATGTATGCTCTATTTATACTTAGGTATAGCTGGTATATTTCCTGGCCATCTCCTTACCATGTTGCCCACAAATCAGCCATAATCTTCATCTTGCTCCCATCACTGGAGACTCAGACACTTCACCTGGATTAAGGAGCTTTGATAGGTGAGTATTTGCCTTAATTTTTGCAGAACTAGGTTGCCAACTGGGGGGGAAGAATGGTAGAGGTACACCTAAAGTTTTCCATATCAAGTAGTTGGTTATGAAAAAAAATGGGTTTAGTGTACATTAATTTGTGAGAAAGTTAGATCTCTCATGTTTTATTACCACCAAAACATCAGGTAATCTATTCTGATTATCTTTGGCACCTGAATGAAAAGTTTCCATTCAAGGTAATACAAGCACAAGAGTTTAAATAGAAAATTATATCTTACCTGGCACCGTTTGCAGCTATACTTGTGAGGCTCTGAGTCTGCACTTTCATCAGAGTTGTCATTTTCTTCTGATGAAATACCAATTTTACCAATGAATTCTTCCCTCTGGTGGTCATCCATTAATGCAATGTCCTGGAAAAGAAAGAACCAGTTTATTGTTACCAGTAGAAGGAGACTAGTTTTCAAAATCTTTAATCTTCATGCAGCTGGCATTAATGCTACATAGATGCCAAAAGGGTCCATGGATAGATTTCATGGGGTTCTACAAACTTGTATCAGAAAAAAAAATTACATGTTTATTTTTAATAACTAATTGAAATTTAGCATTTCCTTTAATTATAAATGTAGGTAACAAACATTATTCTAAGGAATCTATAGGCTTCAAGAGAGTTCCAAAGAAGTCTATGATACCAAAAGGTTAAGAATCTCTAGATAAGATAACCTTGGAGGGCCTTCCTGCTCTATGATTCTAATTACCACACTATCTTTTTGAAAATTTTCTCTGGAAATGCATCTTTAAAACTTATCCTGGAAAACCAGAGTCTTAACTTGTGCTTAAAAATAAAAATTCTTTCAGCTATCCAATAAAATTTTAGTAGCTTAAATTTGAAAACTGGCGACAGAGAAAGTAATTAGGACAAGTTCACTGAAGCCACTGTAAAATGAAATTATTAGGATAGGGAACAGAATAGTCTTTGAACTTTTTTTGGCGGGGGGGGGAGAGGCAACTGGAGTTAAGTGACTTGCCTAGGGTCACACAGCTAGTAAGTATCTGAGGCTGGATTTGACTCCTGACCTAGTGTTCTATCCACTGAGCCACCTAGCTGCCCCGCTGAATTCCTTCAATCTTCAAGGATCAGTGCTCACTGAGTGAATAAAATGCTATCATCTTCAGTTTACCTAATGTTCTTGATTCTTCTTAGTTTTGATTATAGTCTAAGTTTTCTGTCCAAAAGCATAACCCAGTTTTCTACAGAAGTCAATCCAAGAAGCTTAGAAAACTTAGAAGGGTATAATTTTAATCAGACAAGCAAATAATTCTAATGAGAGGGAAAAAAGAGAGCTATTTAGAGAAACCAATGTGGATACACAAAAAACTAAAAATAGCTTATTTTAAATGATATGTATAGAAGATAGAAGTAAGAACAGATAGATGAGTATGATCACAAAAGGAAAATGTAGCACTCTAAGAAAGGGAAAATGGAGTGCTAATGCTCAAAATAAACTACACTTGTGGATTAATGGTAAGAATAATTTTAAAAGTTAAGATTTTTTTAAAAGAAAGAACAAAAAAGGGATAACATTAGTTGGAACAGGTAACAGACAAAGAAGGGAAGATAGAACTATTCAACTCTTACTTTGTTTCTATTTTTTCTGCCAATGGACAAACTAGTCCATTGAACTGCATCTCAAAATTTGGACAAAAGATGTCATTTACCCACATGGATTTTCCTATGTGAAAAGATGTAATCTTTTGGGTGATTGTAGGTCTCATTTTTTAAACACCAATATCCTTCTGGTGATGCTGTATGGCTACAAGGAAAGAGCTACATGGTTTTCTAAAAAACAATAAAACTCACTCAGAGGGCAACAGAATGCACATAATGGGTATAAATTCATATAAATAATCAATACAGAATTATAGAGGAGTGCCATAGAGATTCTTATCAGAGAGCTGGTGACCAGAAAAGACATACTGTAACCAAAGTAAGGGATAACTGAAAGGTAGCCCATGCAATTATCAAGAGATTTAGAAGAGAGCCCTAGGGATGTGAGTCGATACTTTGTGGATAATTTATGGAAGATATTTCATAGATGAGCTATAAATCAGCAATATTAGAAAATATAATGATATTGAAGAGATCATAGATCCGTTTTATTATCAAAGTACTTCTCTGCCAAGGAGAATTTGCTTCAGACCGGAAAGGATAGATTAGAATAAAAATGGCTACTGGGGAATTGAAATCTAGGATAGCTGAGAAGATTGTAAGAAGGCATAGAGCTACCTTTGATGAGTTTAAGACACCAGGCTTAGATGAACTACATCTCAGGATAATGAAAGAACTAACTGATGTGATTGCTGAGGTCATTTTGTTGATTTAAAAAAAAACAACCCTGTAATAACAGTGAGCATTTACATAGCATCTACTAAGTGGCAGGCACTGTGCTAAGCACTTTACAAATATATCATTTGATCCTCACACCAACCCTGAAAGGTGGGGGCTCATTACAATTTAAGAAACTGAGACAAAAGGAGGTTAAGTGATACCCAATGTCACACAGAAAGTGAATGAGGCTGACTTTGAACCCAAGTCTTCCTGACTATATTATAGGCCCAGCACTCTTGCCACTGTGCCACTTAAATCTCTACAATTATAGAGAATTGTAGCAAATAAGAGAGATGTTATAGGATTGGAGAAGGACTTATATAATTCTGATATTCAAAAGAGGGTAGGTGGTGGAGTCTGCAAACATTACTTTGGTGAGCATTTAACCTTGATCCTGTATAAAATTCTAGAACATATTTGTTAAAAGAGAGGCAACATAGTAAACTTAAATAGAAAATATAGAGAGTAGGCTTATCAAGTTTTTAGAGGACACAAAACTAGAAGAGATTGCTAATTAATCAACAAATGTTTAATGAGAACATACTACATGTCAGACATTATACTAAGTGTTGGGAATACAAATATAAAGAAATGAATAATCCCTATTTGCAAGCAGCTTACAAATTCACATATACATATAAACAGACTACATAGAAAGAGAATAAATACAAATAAATAAAAAGTTAAATACAGGGTAGTTTAAGAGGGAGGGCACTAGCAATTGAGGATATTCAGTTTGAAATGTCCAATAGGTAGTCCAGATAGAGGACTGAAGCTTAGGACATGATTATAGATTATAGATCTGGAAGTCAATGACATAGAGATGATAAACTCGAGACAGCTGAAGAAGTCACAGAGACAGAGAGTCTAGAGAGAAGAATAAGGAGCCTAGGACAGAACCTTAAGGAACCTCTCCATTTCAGGGTGTGACATGGAGCCACTTAAGGAGACTGAGAATGGCATGGTCATACAAGTAAGAGAACCAAGAGAGAGCAGTGTTGTGAAAGCCCAAAGAGAAGAGGTTATCTGGGAATAAGAAGCGGTCAACAGGATCAAATAAGATGATACTCAAAAAAAGCCATGAGATCTGACAATTTAGAGACAATTGCTAACTTTGGAGACAGCAGTGTCAGTCTAGTGCTACGAAGCCAGATTTCAAAGGGCTAAAAAAAAAAAAGTGAGAGGACAGGAATCGAAAGCAGTGATAGATAGCTTTTTCTAGAAGTTTGGTCGAAAAAGGGAAGAGAAAAATGATAAATTGAGGGAATAAATTGAGGGTAAGATCTGGTGAAGATTTTTGAAGGGAATATTGGGAGAACTCAGCTGAGTATTCATCTACTCCATCTTGGTTCCTCTTGAAGAAGTCTCTTCTTGGTCCATTTTCAAATACTCACCTCATGGATCTTTTGGAAAAATGATTCAAATGCTTCCCTTTTAATGTCTATCCATTTATTTTCTTTGAAGAGTAGGATCAGATTTGTAGAAGTGTTATTTGTGGGTACCAACCATCCTTTTTTAAATGATCACATTATTAGAATGTAACCACTGAAAGCCTGTGCTAATCTGCAACTATTTCAAAAAAGTTAATAAACTATGTATATCCTTTGACCCAGAAATACCACTAGACCCAAAGAAATTAAAGAAAAGAAGAAAACCCATACATACAAAATATTTATAATAGCTCTTTTTATAGTGGCAATGAATTGGAAACTGGGGGGGGGGTGTCCTTCATTTAGGGAAAGGGGTAATGGAATCCTATTGTGCTATAAAAAAGAGAAAATTTCAGAGAAATCTAGGAAGATATGTATGAACAGAGATTATATGGGATAGCTCCTAGGAAGGGATAGGGAAGATCGATATAATGCAAAATGTGGATAATATAATAAAGATATTAAATTTTTTTTAACAATATTAATCTAAACAAGGCTGATAATTATTTCAGAATGCTACCAAATCAGGCAATAATCCCCAACAAAAAAGGCATGGAAAATAATGTGAACAAATACCTTAAAATGAACATGAATATGATCCCTAAGCACATCTACCCGGAAGAATTTGCGTCCACAGATCTCACAAGTATACTTCTTATCTCCATGGGTCAAGAGATGTTTATTCATATTACTTCTACATGAAAATACCTATGAGTAGAAAAAAAATGACAATTAAGAAAACTTCTCTGTTCCCAAGACTTGAGAAATACAACTTAATGTCTATTTATACAAAATAACCATCTATAAAATCTCAATAAATATTATGGTAACATCAGTTGCTCAATTTGGCATTGATTTTAATCTTTACTATAATAAGTTAATGACCTTACTATACACAGACAGCTGGTACTCCCCTTCATTCCACCCAAGCTAGCAGTAGGTAGTTCTGACTCCTTTAATTTAATTGCGACCCCTCTACAAATTTGTGGATTGTCTGTCTACCTTGGGAAGAGAGATATTTTTATGGGCTTTCAATATAAGGGAAAAATGAGGAATGGAAATTTTACAGGGAAATTATCTTCTCAAAATATGTGTTGAATAAGAGAAATGTAAAGTAAACAAACTGATGTTTTACCTCACACCTAGAAAACTGTCAAAGATGACAAAAAATAAGACTAATATCCATTCGTGGGACTACCAGAAGATAGGCATAGATACACTGATACACTATGGGTAGAGTTAATTGGTCCAACATTATGAAAACAATTTGGAACTATGCTTTAAAAAGAAAGAAAGAAAAATAACTAAAATGCCCATACTATACTCTATAAATTAAAAGACAGAAAAAAAGGTCTCATACACCAAATTATTGATAGCAGCAATTTTAGTAGTAGTAAAGAACTGGGAACAAAGTAGATGCTCATCAACTGGGGAATAGCTAAATAAACTAGCAACAAATGAATGGAATGGAATATAATTACATTGTAAGAAATAAAGAATATGAAGAACTCAGAGACAGCTGGGAAGACATTCATGAACTGATATGGAGTAAAATAATCAGAAACAAGAAGATGATTGAAAAAATGACTAAAGCAATGTGAATGGAAAGAACAACAAAAAAACCTGAAACAGAATGCTGTGTATTTATAACAATCAAGATTGACCCTGTAGAAGACTTGAGAAAATAAATCTTGCTCCTTACATTGTAGAGGTAGAGAACTATGGAAATAGAACATTGCATATACTGTCAAACAAGTTTGAAATATTAGTTAGTTTTGAAAATTTCTTTTTCCCCTTGTTTCTTTTAAAATCTTTGTGACAAGGGATGACTCACTAGGTAAGGGGAAATGAAGCTGTATATTTGGGAATGGTGATTTAAAAACAAAAGTGTCCAATAAAATAATCAAGAAAAACATCTTTTTATTGGTATGTATGCATGGGGGGGGGTAGATAGAGTAAGTGTTATTCTTTACATGAAATAACACTAGTCAACCAAGCACCTTCTGAAACTCTAAGATGAAAACTCACAGGAACATTATGGTCAAAATCTAGGGCTTCCAGGTCAAAGGAAAAATACTGCAAATATCCAGAAAGAATTCAAAGACTAAGGAACCACAGTAAGTGTAATACAAGATTTGGCAGCTTTCTTTATAAAGGAGCTGAGAACATGGAATGTTATATTGCAAATGGCAAAAGATAAAGGGTTACAGCCAAGAACTCACCCAAAAAGACTGAGTATAATTGTACAGGAAAAAAAACACACCTTTAATGAAATGGAGGATTTCTGAGCATTCTTGATGAAAAGAACAGAGCTGATTAAAAACGTGTTTACAAACACAGGAATAAAGAGAAAGATAAAAATTACAGGTAAGCAAAAAGGAAAATATAAGGATGAAATGTTTCTATTTTAATGGGGAATGATAGTAGCATCCCTTAAAAACTGTGATGTCATCATAGAGGAAGTCAAATAAAATAGAAGGTCTGTGAGTGATTTTTGTTATGTTTTGACGATCTTAACAGAAAGGAACAGGAAGGGAATAAAAGGATACACTAGGGAATGAAAGGGGAGGGAGACATATAATTTGTCGGGTACAAGTAGATGTCTACAAACAAGTACGGGGAGGCTGGCTACCACTTGAACTTCAATTTCATCTGAACTGATCAAAAGAGAGTGTAACATGCAAACTCACACAAACACAAAGAAATTATTGTAGAAATGCATTAAGCTCAACAGGGAGAGGAGAGAATAAAAGAGAAAGGAGATTAAGAGAAGGATCAGTCATAAGTAAAAAAAGAAAAAAACTCAATTTCACAGGGGAGGATCATGAAGAGGGGTGAAAAGGGAAGAAAAAAGGAAGGAAGAGACAAAGGTATAGAGCTATTATTTGGGTCTGAATAAGGGGAAGAAAAGAGGAATACAGAAGTGAAAGCTGTTTAAGGCAAGCACAGACAGTGGCTCCCACTTGGTGGTTCACAACCCCAAAGAGTTCATGCTAAAAATTATTTAATAGGGATTAATTCTTTAACATTTGTATTACATAACTGCAAAATACAATGAATAACAAAGTACCATAGGGGCTTTTTTTTTTTGCTTTTTGGTGAGGCAATCAGGATTAAGTGACCTGTCCAGAGTCACATAGTTAGTAAGTATCAAGTGTCTGAGGCCAAATTTGAACTCGGGTCCTACTAACTCCAAGGCCAGAACTCTATCCACTGCGCCACCTCGCTGCCCCCCATAGGAGCTTCACAACACAATTTGTTGTCCTTTTTGAAAGGGATTTAGAGAAACAAAAAATGTTGGGAATCACTACCATAGAGCATTGTTGATGAGCAACATTTGTGTTTTATACTTTTCATCTATGTAAAAAGGGTTTGAGGAGGAAAGAGAAGAGAAAAAATAAGAGAATAAGCAGGAGTTAAATGCATAAAATTTAAAAATTTTACACAAATTCAAATCAGCGAAGTTTAGAAGGGAAGCAGTGAACTAGGGAAAAAATCTTCACAGCAAGGTTCTCTGATGAAAATCTCATTTACATGACACTATGGAATTGGTTCAAATAGATAAGAATAATGGAGGTTTTCCAAAAGACATGAGGCAATTCTCAAAGGAGTAATCTAAGTTTTTTATAACCATCTGAAAAAATACTCCAAATTTCACTATTAGTTAGAAAAATACAAATTAAAGCAACACTGAGTTTCTAACTCACACACATCAGATGGGCAAAGTTGTCAAAAAGAGAAAATGATAGGCTGTGGGAAAACCAGTATCATTCTCAAATCTACCTACCCTGGCCCTAACCTCTCTCTGATATCCAATCTCGAATCTCTGATTGCCTTTCAGACATCTCAAACTGGATGTTCAGTGGATATCCTAAATTCAACATATCCAAAACAGAACTTATTATCTTTTCCCCCTAAAATCTTTCCCCCTCCCAAGTTTCCTATTACTGTTAAGGCAACACAATCCCTGCCCTTCCCCTAATCCCGTCATCACTCTGGCTTGAAACACAGGTGTCATGCCTGACTTCTCACTACCTCTCACCTCCATATAAAATTTTGCCAAGCTAGGTCAATTTCACCTCTGCAACATCTCTTGAATATGTCTTCTCACCTCTGATACCGCAGCCTTCACTGTGTGCAAGCCCTTATCACCTCACACTTGGATGACTGCAAGAGCCTTCTGGGTTGTTCTGCTTGCCTCAAGTCTTTCCCCCACTCCAATCTATCCTCCATTCAGGAGCCAAAGTGATTCTCCTCAAGTGCAGTTCCAACCATGTCACCCCTCTACGTGATGAACTCCAGTGGATCCTTATCACCTCCAAGATAAAATATTTTTGTATTTGTTGTTCAGCATTCAGCACCCTTCATAACCAGCCCCCTTCTACCTTGCCAATCTTTTTACACCTTATTTCCTGACATGTACTCTTGATCCAGTGACATTGGTTTCTGGGCTATTCCACAAACAAGATATTCCATCTCTTGGCTCTGGGCATTTTCTCTGGTCGTCCCCAGATCCAGAATGGTTTCTTTTCTCGTTGCCTACTGGCTTCTTTGGTTTCTTTCAAGTCCTAACTAAAATCCCATTTTCTACAGGAAGCCTTTCCCAACCCCTCTTAATTCTAGGGTCTTTCTTCTTTTATTTCCTGTTTTTATAGCTTGTTGGAACATATCTGTTTGCTTGTTGTCTCCCCCATTATATTGTGAGCACCCTGAAGGTAGGGATTACCTTTTGTTTCTTTTTTGTATCCTCAGCACTTAACACAGTATCTAGCACGTAGAATTGCTTAACACATGTTTGCTGATTGACTGACTGAAAGGTACATTAATGTACTTTTGGTACATGAATTTAATGGAATACCATTTGGTTATAAGAAATTAAGAAATGGTTTCAGAGAAACCTGGAATGATGTATGTAGACTAAGACAGACTGAAGCAAAGCCAACCAGTAAAATTATATATACTATAACACTAACATTTAAAAATAAACAATTTTGGTACTTAAGAATTTAATGATCAATCATGATTCCAGAGGAATGTCAATGCTATTCACCTCCTGATGGATGCACTAATATGCAAAATGATACATAGCCAATATGGAAATGCGTTTTGCTTATGTGTTATAAGGTTGTTTTTTGTTTGTTTGTTTTATTGCTTTTTTAAATTAATTCAGAGGAAGGTTGGAGGGAGAAAAGTCCATTTGATAATTTTTTAAAAATTAAAAAGTCTAACTTTGAAATGTTAAAAGTGATCAAACAGAAGAAGACAATATAAGGCTTATCTCCCAGAAAACACAACTACCACATCCCTCAATGTTGTCCAATTCCATTGCTTCTCCCTTTGCTGTATAAGCCTTTACTCTTTGGAGCTGCACCTCATGGCTGTTATAATCTAAATTAACGGTTACCCACAGCAGCTACATAGATGTTAGTGGAAGGAGTTTCTATCTATTCCCTGCCTCCCAGATCATCTTGTGGTTATGGCAGGTACTCCATGAAAGGCAGGCTCTGCATTTAGGGACACAGTGAGCATGGAACAACAGTTCTACTCCCCATTTTTAATTTTGCATAAAATCTTCCACTTTTTGAAATCAATTTGGATGAGATGACTGTAGGAGTTAGTCACAAAAAATAAGCAGGTACAGAGGGTTTGGATCTGGATCATAGATATCATTTTATCACCTTTCCCCCAAAGCTTACCCATCTTCCTAA